CATCATTACTTCATCATAAAACTATATTTGACCGATTAGAAAACGCTAACTTCTAATCTTATCAAAAATCATGTTTAGATACACTATATTAGATATCAAATTCAAGCTTGTAAACGACATGATTTGATTATACTGTAATTATATTTAATTATAAAGTAGTTATTATAATAAAACTTCAATGTAATTTAAAAAATAAATAAATTATATGATGTATTATGAATATTAGCACAACTTAAATGATGTTACAAATGTTTGTGATTGCTAAATAAATGTTATTAAAACATATGAATACTTTAAATCACTTACAACATATAATTTCCCAATTAAAAAATAAATTGTTTAGATAAAATGCTTATTGTTAAAAAATGAAAAATTATCTTAAATAATAATAATAAATTATTAGAGCTATTTTTATAATTAACATTATTTGACATATATTATTAACTTTAAGTAAAGATTAAAAATGTAATTAAATAAATTTGTTAGAAAATAAAAATAAAAATTTAAAATTAAAGATATAGTGCTTATTGTATATATTTTCGATCGAATAAATTGGTATTATCAAAATTAAATATTGAAAAAATAAAATTGTTTATAGAAATTAAATAAGTAACTCTCAAATATTTTTGTTATATTTTTTTTATTTATTAAATGTTAAATATGTTATTTTATTTTGTAATTATAAATAAAAAAGTAAAATTACTAATAATGAGGATTCATACCCCCTTCCCTCATAAATGGCTATTGGGAATAAGGAAGTCTTAATTTTTTTTTTTATTATTGTAATAATTATGATTATTGGTCATTCATAAAAATTATTCATGATTAATCTTAATTAGTGAATTAAACCAATTTAGTAATTATCACATTCAAGCCTTGTAAATTTGGATTCAATTAACCAAAGATGCCGTTAAGTACAAGTTACCCAAAGTAATAATAGGCATATGGTAATTAAACATTGTTTTAACTCCCCAAGGGGAGTAATATAAAGAGGCGAATAAATAAATTAAATTAACCACGACCTAAACGGCAGGACAATCCACCGTTTTATCTTCCTAACGCAATATCTATTATCTCCTCAACAAATATTAATATTCCCTCAAAATTTTGAATCTGGAAATTGCCCTCCAACCAGCGGGATATCTGGCTAATCTCTCCATTTCTTTTCTGCACCATAAAAACCCTACCAAAGCCCTAATCTTGAAATCCTGCCCCATTCTCAATCACTGTCACCCACCACCTTCCAAGAAATGGCCAAAAAGAAGGTGACCACCCAGATCAATGAGCCCAGAGAACAACCCCAGAGTCAGAAAGATCCTGACCAGGACGAAACCATATCCCGCCAAACTTCCATGGAAGAACTGGGGGAGAAGCTTCAGAATCTGAAATCACTCAATTCTTTGCTTGCCAGAGAGGTGTTTGAAAAGAGACAGCAAATTGATTCCCTGGGACAAGCCAAGAATGCGTTACAGAGAGAGCTGGCTCGGTCTAAGGGAGACTTGGAGGCGGAGTTGGGCAGAGCGAGTGACGAGAACGCCGGGTTGGAGTTGGAGAAGCTTTTCTTCTGCGTAGCGATGGAGACCTACGTGAGAGAAATGTGTGCTGGGATTGATTGCTTGGTGAGAGAGAAGGAAAAGAGGGAGAGGGAGATTATGTTATTGAAGGGTGAAGTGAATGAACTCATGGAAAATTTTGAAAATGAGA